AGAGACATCATAATATATTCTCTCAAGTTTATGTAACAGTTTTCAGGACTCTTCATATATATTATCTCATTTGATATTCACAATAACTCATGAAGCAAGAAAAGCAGTTATTATTATCCTTAGGCTACATATAAGTGAACTCAGATTCAAAGAGGTTAATTGCCTTGTCAATTAACTAGGTAGTAAGTGGTGTGGCTAGGACTAAGATGGTAAGTGTTCTGATCCTTCTGCAAGTATGCTTTCATACCTTATTTCCTGTCAACTTCAAGTGGATTTACCTCTCATTATTAATTTTTTTAATTAAATTTGTACTCTAGGTAGAAAGAGAGAGCACTGGTATATTTTTTTAAATATTTTATGTATTTTCAAAAGAAAGAGAAAGAGAGTGTGCACGAGCATGGGGAGGAACAGAGGGGGAGGGCAGGAGAGGGGGGAAGAATCTCAAACAGACTCCATGCTGAGCACAGAGACTGATGTAGGGCTTGATCTCATGACCTGAGCCAAAACCAAGAGTTGGCTGCTCAACTGATTGAGTCACCCAGGGGCCCCAAGAATACTAGTGTCTTTATCAGCCAATCATTCTTAGAGTTTAGTTAAATACTTTGAGTAAAAACCTATCTCTTGAGAGATTAATAAAATTGACAGGAGAGTATTTTCATTTACTTAATTTTCTAAAGATTGTAGTTTTCTTTACAAACTGTTCTTTATACAGGAAAGAGAAAATGGCACTACAGACAAAGGGCTGATATCCAAGATCTATAAAGAACTTCTCAAACTCAACACCCAAAAAACAAATAATCAAGTCAAAAAATGGGCAGAAAACATGAACAGACACTTCTCTAAAGAAGACATACAAATGGCTAACAGACACAAGAAAACATGTTCATCATCATTAGCTATCAGGGAAATTCATATCAAAACTACATTGAGATACCACCTTACACCAGTTAGAATGCAAAAATTGGACAAGGCAAGAAACAACAAATGTTGGAGACGTTGTGGAGAAAGGGGAGCCCTCTTACACTGTTGGTGGGAATGCAAGTTGGTACAGCCACTTTGGAAAACAGTGTGGAGGTGCCTCAAAAAATTAAAAATAGAGCTACCCTATGACCCAGCAATTGCACTGCTGGGTATTTACCCGAAAGACACAGATGTAGTGAAAAGAAGGACCATATGCACCCCAATGTTCATAGCAGCAATGTCCACAATAGCCAAACTGTGGAAAGAGCCGAGATGCCCTTCCACAGATGAATGGATAAAGAAGATGTGGTCCATATATACGATGGAATATTACTCAGCCATCAGAAAGGATGAATACCCAACTTTTGCATCAACATGGATGTGACTGGAGGCGATTATGCTAAGTGAAATAAGTCAAGCAGAGAAAGTCAATTATCATATGGTTTCACTTATTTGTGGAACATAAGGAATAGCATGGAGGACATTAGGAGAAGGAAGGGAAAAATGAAGGGGGGGAAAATCGGAGTGGGAGATGAACCATGAGAGACTGTGGACTCCAAGTAACAAACTGAGGGTTTTAGAGGGGAGGGGAGTGGGGGGATGGGTTAGCCCAGTGATGGGTATTAAGGAGGGCAAATATTGCATGGAGCACTGGGTGTTATACACAAACAATGAATCATGGAACACTACATCAAAAACTAATGATGTACGATATGGTGACTAACATAACATTTTAAATATATATAAAACTTATAAAGCTCAACACCCTCTAAAAAAATTAAACTCCCAAAAAATAATCCTATAAAAAAATTGGCAGAAGACCTGAATAGACATTTTTTCAAATATGTACAGATGACTATCAGACACATGAAAAGTTGCTCAACAGCACTCATCATCAGGGAAATTCAAATCAAATCTACAATAAGCTACCACCTCACACCTTTGAGAATGGCTAAAATCAACAACAGCTGTTGGTGAGGATGTGGAGGAAGTAGAATCCTCTTGCATTTTTGGTGGGAGTGCAAACTGGTGCAGCCACTCTAGAAAACAGTATGGAGGTCCTTCAAAAAGTTAAAAATAGAACTACCCTATGATCCAACTATTGCACTACTAGGTATTTAGCCAAATAATACCAAAACACTAATTCAAATGGATACATGCACTCTTATTTTTCTAGAGTATCATTTACAATAACCAAGATATGGAATCAGCCTGTGTCCATCAACTGATTAATAGGTAAAAGAAGATGTGGTATTTACATACAGTGGAATACTATTCAGCCATAAAAAATAATGAAATCTTGCCAGTTACAGTGATGTGGATGGAGCTAGAGACTATTATGCTCAGTGAAATAAGTCAGTCAGAGAAAGATAATACCATATGATTTCTCTCATATGTGGAATTTAAGAAACAAAACAGATGAACATAAAGGAAGGAAAGAAAGATCGGCAAACCAAGAAACAGACTCTTAACTATAGAGAGCAAACTGATTTACCAGATGGGAGGTGAGTGAGAGGATGCGTTAAGTAAGTGATGGGGATTAAGGAGTCCACTTGTCATGATGAGCACAGGGTGATGTATAGAACTGTTGAATTAGTATAGTGTACACCTGAAACTAATGTAACATTGTAAGTTAGCTAACTGGAATTAAAACAACTTAAAAAAAGTGATAATATTTAAAAAGTTAGGAATAGCACAACCCTATGATCCAGTAATTGCACTACTAGGTATTTACCCAAAGAATATTAAAACACTAATTTGAAGGGATACATGCACCCCTATGTTTATAGCAGCATTATTTACAATAGCCAAGATATAGAAGCAGCCTAAGTGTTCACTGATTGATGAATGATTAAGAGGATTATATATAAATATATAATATATAAATATTACATATTTAACCATATTCAGCCATAAAAAAGAATGAAATCTTGCCATTTGCAACAACATGGATGGAGCTAGAGAGTATAATGCTAAATGAAATAAATCAGTCAGAGAAAGACAAATATAATATGATTTGCTTGTATGTGGAATTTAAGAAACAAAACAAGTGAGCCAAGGGAAGAGAGACAGTGAGAGATAGAGAGAAGTCAAAAGCAGACTCTTAATTATAGAGAACAAACTGATGGTTACTAGAGGGGAGTTGGATGGGCCAGGGTTAAATATGTGATGAAGATTAAGGAATGAACTTGCTGTGATGAGCACCAGGTTTGTATGGAAGTGTTGAATGACCTTATTATGCACCTGAAACTAATATAACACTATATGTTAACTAATTGGAATTAAAATAAAAACTGCAAAAAAGGAAAGAGTACAATACTCATGAAAGATTGTAAGTACCAAATGAATTAATCCATGAAAAGTGCTTAGTACAGTGCATGGAAGAGTAAAAGATCAAGAGATATGACTATCATTTTTATAGTTGTTATTGTATGTATAGTGTAGTTTGATTTTTAAAAATCTTAAATGATGTAAACATCAAATCTAACAGTGCTCATGTTACAATTGAGGAAGCTGAAGTTCAGATTTAACTTGCTCAAATTCTCAGAATGAAGCAGATGCAGAGCTAGGCCCTTCTCTGTTTCCTGACTTCCTCTTCAATGTTCTTCTCAGTGCTACTGATCCCACAGCAGGATTGGAATTCTTCCCCAAAGAAATGTTGTGCATGTTTTCTGGGACACTTATCTTCACATCTAGAAAGTCCTAACAAGAGGCCAGAGGCAGTTCAAAAATACAGTCACCAGGTCAGACAGAAATTGGCACTAGTCCAATGAGGCATGGGTTTTCAGCTTTTCATTAGGAAAGACCATAAAGGGGAGGTGTGCATGTGTGTGTGTGTGCACGCATGCACGTGTGCATGTGTGTGTGCCTGTGTGTGTGTGTGTGTGTTTGTGTCTGTTAGGGGTTTAGTTGTAAAATACAAAAAAGGGGGGGGCCCTCCAAAGCTCAGGGTTTTCTGTGTGAGGAACCCAATGGAAAACAATGGCTAGAAATTCAAATGAGGTGGACTGAATGAAATAACCAAAAATCAAGGACAACCAGACAAGAGGGATTGAATCTGGGAAGCAGAGGTGCTCACTACCCCTTTCTACACAGCTCACCCCTCCCCTGACCAAGGCCTCTCTTATCCCTCCAATTAAAAAAAGAAGCCAAGCTTAGACTTTACTTACAGTTTGGTATGAATTTGTTGGATGTATTTCTCCTTTTGGAGGTGTTTATATTTTCAATGTTTAGTAGACTGTGAGCAGTGCCAAACCTAGAGGTAGACTGCTGGTGAACTTATGGTAACTCTGGGGCTTGTGAAGTGATGCAATTAAGCTTCTTAGTAAGCCTAATGCCTCTCTCTTGCTGATCACAGATATGTACCAATTAAAAGTCATTGAAAAGTTAACCTAATAGACATACCACTACCTGGTTAATAGGCAAGTACACTGGATGTTAAACTTAATTTTCCCTTTAAGAAAAAAAAATAATAGACCCCAAATGAGCACTAATGGGAACACTTACTACCAAAGAGGTGGACCTATTGGAGAAAGTGATTCAAAGATATGAGATATGGGAATATATATCCCCATAACAACTTCATCCATGGGCTTGCCAATTATTTAAGCTTTGATTTGTAGATAGCTCTTTCATGCACTTAATCTCTTATACTCTGAAGCCCACAGACACCCACTCCCATCACTCTGTTCATTTGCAAAAGTGTATCAGGCAGGAGTTAACAGTATGACTGCTGAATATTGCACAGGTCAGCAATGTTGATCTCTTCTCCCTAGGCCCACCAGAAAGGAAAATACCACCATAGTGGAGCGAGACAACTCATCCGAAAGGTCACCCTCCTACCTCTGAGTCTTGTGGAAGAAGCCTAAAATAAACACAGCTTGGGATATCAAAGACCAGAGAACCCTACTGGCTCCATGGAAAGTCAAGTCAACACCCTGGGGTGGGGGGGATTGCTTCATTCACACTGAACGTCCAATCCCAGGCAGGGGAGGGAGGGGGTACTCACGTGACTTGTGCTGAAATAGGGAAGGAAGGAGAATGTGAGATGGGGCTGGGAATCCAAGTGAGAGATATAGAGAAGGAAGGGAAGTGAGCAAGCACAGGCGCTGGCAGCCATCAGAAGTTCAAGCCTCTTTGACAACAGGAGGCGAGAAGAAAGGACAGAAGTGGTTCTGGCTGCAATGGGGCTCTTACTGGGCCTCCTGCTCCTGGGCCACCTAACAGTGGTCACCTATGGTAAGGCAGCAAATTCCCATATCTCTGGTTTCCACCACTGGCACCAGCAAAAGGCTGGGGGTTTGGGATTGAATGGCTACTGGGGAAAGCCTATTCCTGCTGAATAGGTGAATGTTCTCAGACTGTGCGGCAGACTCTCTCAGCTTTGGGTAGTTGAAGCCTGCTGAAGAAGCCAGGAGGTAAGTTTGGATGGAAATTGAAAAAGATCCTCTCTTGAAAAACATCCACATGATTTTCTAGTACTTGTCATATCTCAGGGACATTAAGGTGTCCAATGCCATTCAAATTCCTCCTCCATCTTATTTCACCTGAAATTCTACCATTATACATTAACCCCTCTGTCTCCAGGTCTTGATCCCTGTTAATATATATAACCTTCAAAGAAGGAATGCTGTCTAAAAGCTAGATGGGACCTTAAAAGTAACCTTAAACCTTTGCTGTTATGAACAGTGCTCAAAATATCTGTTCATATAACTTCCAGTGACTGAGAGTTGATGACATTTCCAGAGTATCTAGTCTATCCAGGGGCAGCTACAAATGTTAAGATGTTCTTCCTTGTGTTGAACTAAATACACTTCCTTGTGGCTTCCATCCTAAGGCCCTAGCTCTTTTTCTTAGAGACACATAGAACATATCTACTCCCTTGATGCTGTGACAGCCCTTTAGAGTTCTGAGGGCAGACATCATGTCCTCTTGATTCATCTCTTCTCCAAGTTAAACAAGCCCTAACTCCTTCAACTGGTCTTCACAAGACTTGTTTCTTACCATCTCCTGGGGTAACTCAGTTTCCTGTGAACATGGCCCAGTTTGTCCAGGCTACGTGTGGGAAATTAATGCTGAATATGTATCCGAAAAGAGGTCTTACTATCCCATAGAAGCATTATTTCCTTGAGTATTCTTCCATCCTCTTTTATATCTCTGAGAATTGAGATAGACTTTTAGGTAACTAAGCCTAAGTAATAACTAAATGAGACCCAAGATACAGCAAAGGGATTCTTGCTGCATATCTACTTGTTCCATATCTTTAGAGGGAGATGCCAGATTTATGTTAGCTTGGTGTCCCTTATGTGGTCAGAAAGAACTCAGCTTTTCATAGCTTACTCAAATTATGCTACTCTGTCCTGGGGCTCTGTGACCAATCAAATTCTAGAGCCTCAAAGCTAAAAGGGATACTAAATAAGTCACCTGAGAGGGAAAAGAATGTTCTCCAGGCCACAGAACATTAGTGGCAGAGTTAATACTACTAAATAATAGAGTTTATTTGTTTGTTTGTTTGTTTTACAAATACAATATTTTCATTCTCTAACAAGTTATAGAGTGTCCCTTTCTATTTTCTCCAAATCTGTTGGTTTAAGCTGATATTTACAGAGGCAGGACTGGGGCTCAGGATAACATGCTGTACATGTCAACACTAAATCGTGTATGTGTACATATGAGTACTCTCATGTATATTGTTCCATCCTCAGCCTGTGAGTTCCCCTAGACCTGGAAACAGGTCTTCCTTTTGTGTGGAGTGTTTAACACTATAGACCTGAAGCTCAGGACATACTGAATGGCCAATGACACATTCCTTCTCCCTGGATCTCAGTGTCTCCAGCCTATTTGTACAGTGAGGAGATCAACTTGGCTGGCCTCAAATGGCCCTGCCACCTGGACAGCTCTGTAGGACTGTAGCTTCACTTCTAAAAAGCTTCTAGGGGCCAGAATCAGCTGCTAGGTCAAAGCACATGTTGAAATAATCATAATAAAATAAATCCTAAACATTTTTATTTTATAAACATTAAAAATATTTTATTAACATTTATCATCTAAGCTAATCTATCCAGCACCTACTGAATGCCAGCCATTATTCTAGGTGCTTTCACACCTATAAGCTCATTTGATCTTCAAAATAACCCTCCATGGAAGATATATTATTACCTCCATTTTATTGGCAAAGGCCTAAAGCTCAGACAGGTTTAGCAATTTACTCAGGGTCACATAAAGGCATGGTGACACAGGTCACGTGTTAAGACAGACCTTGGGCTTGGATTGGTGTTATTCTTTTTACTACACCATGTGCTACTTCACTATTCTCCTGATCTCACTAGGTGCTTCTATTCAGTGTTTCTCTAGGCTCTCTGAGAACCACAAGGATAGTTGGAAGGTATAGGTCAATTCTATTGAGGTTACCTTCACTTTGGAAATCAGAGTACAGAATGTACAATGTCTTTTTTATGTGTGTGATGCCTCATGCCTACCATAAACTGTCTCTTTGTGATACTAATGAAGCAGGAGGAGAAAGAGGAGAAAACAAGAAGGAGGAAGAATAGAAATTAGATGGAAGGATACGCTGAAGGAAGGAAAGAAGAAGGAAGTGGGGGAAGTAAAGGGGGCAAAAACATGTAATTCTTTGAAGTCTGGTTACTAACTCTGTCCCATGCCCCTATTCTGGAATGTAGGAATCAAGCCTGACATACTTTCAGAAGTGACTTTCAAGATTGAGAAATTGAGACTGGCTATTCACATAATTGACAGACCAGAGTGGGCTATGTGAGAATCCCCAGGAAGTTCCCAGAGAGGGTAATGCAAACCAAGCTTTGCAGTTCCCCCAAGGCCAGAGGGAAGACATATATACACATAGACAAAGGCATTTTCAGCTGTTCCAGATGTCCTCACAGCTAAATGCTGTTTGTTGTCAGGAAAAGTATATGAGAATGCTTTTCAGAGGAGGGGCAGGAGATTTGTGAGAGCTGGAAGAAGATTAATGGGAAAGAGCACATTAAACTGAAAGGTTCAGATGGTTTTCATGGGGCTTAAGGCTGGTATGTGTGTGCTTGTAAGTGACACATGCATGTTCATGATGATGATAAGCTGCATCTGCCTGCATATGGAGGCCTGAACTAGCAATAGTACAGTGACACTCATCACCATCTGGCGAAAGTTCACCACCAGCTAGAAAATGTAATTATTTAACTTCCATTTCCATTATAGCCTATTAGCATTGAATCATCTAGGATTGGAGGGGATCTTAAGAAGTAATGCTGTCCAAGACTTAAACAAAGCTCAGAACTTCTCCCAGACTGCTTAGTTCATCAATAAACAGCTCTAATTAATTATAAAGTTCATTGTTAGGGCAAACCAAAATCTGCCCTATTGCACTCCCATTCATGGGTCTGAGTTCTGCTCCCTGCCTAATCTGAAATTCTCCAGAGACTATGTGGCAGATTTAGCAACATGAACTCCTGTTTATTTATTCTTTTCTAGTCAAGGCCAAATATGCTAGTGATGTTCTGATGTTCTAAGAATCCCTAGTGAGGGCACAGGCTAGAGGCCTGACTTTAGTCTCCCCACTGATAGAAGCCCTGATACTTGGTACTTGGCAATAAATTCTGGGAGCTAGAAGGCATACTCCCTCCCTACCATCCGTTTGATTGAAGCCTGAGAATCCTGGACTACATAACAGGCTTTTATTCAGTAATATCTCACATTTTGAACCTCCTTCTTCTAGGACAGACATAAATAAATTGTCTACATAGAATCCCTCACTCCTGGCTGGAATTAAATAAAACACAAAATCCTCAAAATATGAACTTATGAATGAAAATTTCTTTTTTTAAGATTTTTTTTTTATTTCAGAAAGAAAGAGAGAGCATGAGAAGGGAGAGGGGCAGAGGGAAAGGGAGAAGCACACTCCTTGCTGAGCAGGGAACCCAACACAGGGCTCAATCCCAGGACCCCAGGATCATGACCTGAGATGAAGGCAGACACTTAACTGACTGAGCCACCCAGGCACCCCGAATGAAAATTTCTAATAGGAAGTGATGCCTCTCTCAACATTCCCAATTCCTCTCCACCATGTTTCCTTCCCCAGCACACCAAGGAATAATCTCTTTTTGGTCCTACTACCATTCCTACCACAGACAGCTTTAGGATTTTATTCAGACCCTTTTCCTTTCCAGACATTTTCCTCTCCATTCCTCCTCAAGATGGAATTTTCCAATGTACCTTTGGGGAAATCTAAGAGAAACCAAAAGGGAAATAAAGATAAATCAGAAAAAAAGTTCAGGCTTACAAAGTGCAGATTTCAAACTTAACAATAACTAATGATTTTGTTAAACAGGAGTACATTTCACACAAGTTTCCACCCTCAGAATTGCCCTGTGTCCTTCCTCCCTTCCAGAGAAGGGCTTAGGGTCAGGGACCCAAATACTGAGACTTTCTGAGGGAGCAATAGGGAATAAGCGGGGAATATGGCCCTTTCTTTCCTAGCCCTGCAGCCCCCACATTTCTCCAGGTATATAACTACATAATAAAATAGCCTAGACACAACTGTTCAGCATTTGCTCCTACATTTCTTTTGGAAAATACTGAAAGAAGTTCTCTTTCATAGACTTACAGAACTTCAGAATTTAAAGAATCCCTAGAGATCATTCCATTCAAACTCTCTACATTATAGATGAAGAAAATGGGTCCTCATGGTGGAAAGTGACTTATCCAGGGTCATCTCACAGCAAGGCAGTGACAGGAAAGGAACTTGAAACAGACAAGAGCCAAAGTGTTAAGAGTTTTCCTTCTGAGGACTGGTTCTGATTGATGGGAAGGCTGGCAGAGAACAAAAGGGCACATGGAATCCAAAAGTATGATGGAAGGAAATTTGAGAGGTGTTTCTCAGAACTGCCATCCTAGCTCCCAAGTGGGTGTGCCATCTATGTCCACTTTCTTCCTCCTTTTCAGGCCATCCCATCCTGGAAGCACCTGAGAGTGTGACAGGGCCTTGGAAAGGAGATGTGAATATTCCCTGCACCTATGGTCCTCTGCAAGGGTACACTCAAGTCTTGGTAAAGTGGCTGGTACAACGTGGCTTGGACCCAGTCACCATCTTCCTACATGATTCCTCTGGAGACCATATCCAGCAAGCAAAGTACCGGGGCCGTCTGCAAGTGAACCACGAAGTTCCAGGAGATGTGTCCCTCCAACTGAATACCCTGGAGATGGATGACAGGAGCCACTACACATGTGAAGTCACTTGGCAGACCCCTAATGGCAATCAAGTGGTGAGAGATAAGATCATTGAGCTCCGTGTCAAGAAACGTGAGTGACTGTGATGATAGGAAAGCACTGAGTGACAAAGAACAAATAGAGGACTATAATACTAGAAAAGCTTTAGAAATCCAGAGAATTTTATTTACTTGTACACAGGCTTTCTTCAGTCATATGTGTTAATCAGGGGAAGTGGACAGGCAGAGGATCCTCAAGGTCATCACTCTTACAGTATAATTTAAGAAATGTTGGGAAGGGTTCCTGGCCTTCAAATCTCTACCCCTTCAAGCATCCCAGAAATTCTAGCATCCACACCCTGGTTGCCCTCTTTGGGCTATGGGTCTTAAAACTCATAAAAATAAGTATATCCGTCTTATCAGGGTATTGGAGAGTAAATAGATACTGACAGAGAAGTTCTGGGGAAAGAGATACGGGGGTTAGCCAAGATACATTTTGCTGACTTGACAATTTTGTGAAAACCTGGCCCTGGTAATCCAAAACTGCAGATAATCCAAAATCTCTATCTACTAAAGCCTAAAATAATCTCTCTCTATATATTTTTTTTAAATCAGTTGATTTGTAAATCCAGATAATCCAAAACTCTAGATAACACAAAACAGTACTTAATCTTCCAAAGGAAGCTATTTTTATTTACATTATCCTATTTCTTACCCCTCCCAAGTCAGGACCCCCTTTTAGTTCCCTTTGCAGATATATAATTATTGCTATACCCAGCAAGGATGACTCAGCCTTGTCTTCACATATTCTTGTAACTTCCCAGAGCCTCCTCTCTTGTCTTCCCTTTGCAGTCTCTGTTTCCAAGCCCACGGTGACAACTGGCAGTGGCTATGGCTTCACAGTGCCCCAGGGAATGAGGATTAGCCTTCAATGCCAGGCTTGGGGTTCTCCTCCCATCAGTTATGTTTGGTACAAGGAACAGACCAACAATCAAGAACCCATCAAAGTAGCAGTCTTGAGTACCTTACTTTTCAAGCCTGCCATGGTGGCTGATTCAGGCTCCTATTTCTGTACTGCCAAGGGCCGGGTAGGCTCTGAGCAGCGCAGCAACATTGTGAAGTTTGTGGTCAAAGGTAAGCAACTCTTTCTGTTGGTGATCCTAGCAATGGACCACCTTGTACTGGAGATAACTCAGTAAAGTAGTGGCTTTATTCCAGAGAAGAGAGTTTGTGTGTGTGGAGAGAGGGGGTGTCCTGGGTTGTACAATCACAAAGAAAAATTCCAGACTGATTGTAATAAGGCTGGAGACAATACCTGTCATGTTATAGGTTAAGAAGATAAAGATGGTAAAGGGGAAAGTGACATTCACTAAGCAAATCATATTTGCCAGATACAATTCACAAGAACTCAACACACAGTCTGTAATTGAAACCCACATTTAACTCATGAGATAGCTATCATTACCCTCATTTTACAGAAGAAGAAACTGAAAATCAGAAAGGGAAATTTTTTTTGCCCAGGGGTTAAAGGTTAGGAAGTTCAAGTTGGAACTTGCACACAGATCACATACTCTTTCCATTATGTCTGATTGTCTCTATGATTGAATCTTTATTAGCTCCTGGACACCATTTGGAATCTTTTTTATTTGTTATTTTTTGAGTATAGTTGACACACAATGTTATATTAGTTTCAGGTACACCACATAGTGATTTGACAAGTTTATACGTTATGCTATGTTCACCACAAGTGTAGCTACCATTATATCACTATTATAATATCATTGACTATACTTTTTTTTACTGTGCCTTTTATCCCCTTTTATTCCCTAACTGGAAGCCTATATCTCCCACATCTCCATACATATTTTGCCCATATCCCCACTCTCCTCCCCATCAGTTTGTTCTTTGAATTTATAGATCTGATTCTACTTTTTGTTTATTCATTTACTTAGGTCCCACATATGAGTGGAATCACATGGTATTTGACTTTATTTATTACTATTTATTTATTTATTTATTTGAGAGAGAGAACAAGAAAGCACAAGCAGGGGAGGGGCAGGGACAGAGACAGAGGGACAAACAGATTCCCTGCTAAATGGGGAGTCTGACCTGGGGCTTGATCCCAGGACCCCAAGACCATGACCTGAGCCGAAGTCAGACACTCAACCAACTGAGCCACCCAGGTGTCACAATATTTGTCTTTCTTAGTCTGACATATATCACTTAACATAATGCCCTCTAGGTCCATCCATGTTTTCTCAAATGGCATGATTTTTTACTCCTGTATGGCTGTGTAATACTCCATTGTGTGTGTGTGTATATATATATATATATATACCACATATTCTTATCCATTTGTCTATTGATGGACACTTAGGTTGCTTACACATCTTGACTACTGTAAACAATGCTGCAATAAACATAGGTATGCATATAACTTTTTAAATTAGTGTTTTCATTTTTTTTTAATTTTATTAAGTTGTGTTAGTCACCATACAATACATCATTAGTTTTTGATGGAGTGATCCACCATCCACTGTTTTCATATAACACCCAGTGCTCCATGCAATACGTGCCCTCCTTAATACCCATCACCAGGCTAAACTATCCCCCCTCCTCCCTCCCCTCTAAAACCCCGTTTGTTGCTCAGAGTCCATAGTCCCTCATAGTTCATCTTTCCCTCCGATTTCCCCCCCTTCATTTGTCCCCTCCTTCTCCTAATGTCCTCCATGCTATTCCTTATGTTGCACAAATAAGTGAAACCATATGATAATTGACTTTTTCTGCTTGACTTATTTCACTTAGCATAATCTCCTCCAGTCCCATCCATGTTGATGTAAAAGTAGTGTATCCGCCCTTTCTGATGGCTGAGTAATATTCCATTGAATATATGGACCACATCTTCTTGATCCATTTACCTGTTGAAGGGAGTCTCAGCTCTTTTCACAGTTTGGCTACTGCAGACATTGCAATATTGGGGTGCATATGGCCCTTCTCTTCACTACATCTGTGTCGTTAGGGTAAATACCCAGTACTGCAATTGCTGGATCATAGGGTAGCTCGATTTTTAACTTTTTGAGGCACCTCCACACTGTTTTCCAAAGTGGCTGTACCAACTTGCATTCCCACCAACAGTGTAAGAGGGTTCCCCTTTCTCC